TTCAAGCACTCTGTGCCTACAGACAGAGATGACACCCACTCACGAGGAATATTTATGCAGCTATCTGGGCAAGGCCAGAACTGTGAACATACCTCATCCTCAGGAACATTCTGGCTTAGTGTTCTCAGCAGCTGCTCTGAGTCATAACAGGCAGACATCCTAAAAGGTTTCACTGTGCTTCAGGGCAGGGACTGGTTGTATCTCCACAGCTGAAAACCTTATGAGAATAAGGAAGAAAATGGGGCTCTATCATAACCCTTGTGGCAGGAGAAAATTGGCTGCATCAGCCTGAAAACAAGGGAGAATCAGAGAAGGAAGAGTTCTTTCTTCCTTGGTTCAGATAGTAATGATCCCCAGGGCTCAAAAGTCAGGATCATCACTTGTTTCCTGCCCTTGCTACGGTATCTCTGAAGTTGAAGCCAATATGTGTTGCATGATTTTTTCCCACTCTTTCTGCCTCCAGAGGGCGAATAGAGTGTGTAGTCTAATATTACATTTTTCTAGGCAGAGGGGAGATGACATAGAGTGGATTCTTTCTTAAATATGGGTTCTCTTGGTTATATGTTAGAGAAGATTTATACCCAAAGAGGAGCTTTATTAATTCTGTTATATGCTGGCCCAAAGCATGATTCTGAACCTGACTACAAAGCCATTGCAGAGAATGTGGGTGTAATGGGTTTATGTGGCAAGGTTTTGGTACTGGGCAGATTATAGGGTGGCTTCTGTGAGAAGCTGCTAGAAACCAATGCCAGCTGATTCCAAGATGGACCCACCACTGGCCAAGGCCAAGACCATCAGCGACAGCAATAGCACCTCTGGGACAATATATTTAAGAAGGGAGAAAAAACCTGTGCAGCTGCAGACAGAGAGACAGGAGTGATGATGTGTGAAAGAAACACTCTGCAGGCACCAAGGCCATTGAAGAAAGAGGGGCAGTGGGTGCTGCAGGTGCCAGAGCAGAGACTCCCCTGCAGCGCATGGAGGACCCCATGCTGGAGCAGGTGGATGCCTGTAGGGGGCTGTGACCCTGTGGGAACCTGTGCTGGAACAGACTCCTGGAAGGACTGTGGCCCTGTGGAGAGAGGAGCCCACACTGGAGCAGGTTTTCTGGCAGGACTTGTGACCCCTTGGAAGACCCAAGCTGGAGTAGTTGGTTCCTGAAGGACCTGTGGAAGGGACCCATGCTGGAGCACCTGGTGAAGAACTGCAGCCTGTGGGGAGGACTCATGTTGGAGAAGTTCATTGAGGACTGGACTGTCTCCCATGGGAGAGACTCCAGGCTGGAGCAAGGGAAGAGTGTGAGGAGTTCCTCCCCTGAGAAGGAAGGAGCAGCAGAGACAATGTGTGATGAGCTGACCACAATCCCCATTCCCTGTCCACCTGTGCCACTGAGGGGGAGCAGGTAGAGAAATTGGGAGTGAAGAAGCCTGGGAAGAAGGGAGGGGTAGGGGGAAGGTGTTTTAAGATTCAGTTTTTATTTCTCATTACCCTACTCTGATCTGATTTATAATAAATTCAGCTAATTTTCCCGAGTTGAGTCTGTTTTGCCCATGACAGTATTTGGAGGGTGATCTCTACTTCTCCTTATCTTGACCTATGAGCCTTTTGTTATATTTCCTTTCCTGTCCAGCTGAGGAGGGGGGTGATAGAGGAGCTTGGTGAGCACCTGGTGTCCAGCCAGCACCAAACCACCAGAGTGGGATAGGCAGTATTTTTTAATATTTGCAGTTTTGTAAAAGTTTATGTTTTTTTTTCATAGGATGTTTGCACAAAAAGAGGTTTGTATAAATGGGAGCAGGTCACTGTCTGCTAGAAGAAAATTAAGCCTATTTGCCATTGACATATTGTAGAAAGTACTAGATTGCACACACTTTTATACAAGTCTTAGGAGCAGCCACTGCATTCTTCTAGATTAAAAGCTGGTGTTTGGTTTCTGGATAGTCTTCTTCTGCCCCTGAACTGGGCACCTGCCCAGGAAGGGATTTGAAATGCTTACTTATTACAGGCTACATTTCCATAAAGATGTGTTTGGATGGGCCACTGCAGCTCTCATGAGCAGTCATGCAGGCCACTTCTCTTTCGAAACCAATGCCAGCTGATTCCAAGATGGACCCACCACTGGCCAAGGCCAAGACCATCAGCGACAGCAATAGCACCTCTGGGACAATATATTTAAGAAGGGAGAAAAAACCTGTGCAGCTGCAGACAGAGAGACAGGAGTGATGATGTGTGAAAGAAACACTCTGCAGGCACCAAGGCCATTGAAGAAAGAGGGGCAGTGGGTGCTGCAGGTGCCAGAGCAGAGACTCCCCTGCAGCGCATGGAGGACCCCATGCTGGAGCAGGTGGATGCCTGTAGGGGGCTGTGACCCTGTGGGAACCTGTGCTGGAACAGACTCCTGGAAGGACTGTGGCCCTGTGGAGAGAGGAGCCCACACTGGAGCAGGTTTTCTGGCAGGACTTGTGACCCCTTGGAAGACCCAAGCTGGAGTAGTTGGTTCCTGAAGGACCTGTGGAAGGGACCCATGCTGGAGCACCTGGTGAAGAACTGCAGCCTGTGGGGAGGACTCATGTTGGAGAAGTTCATTGAGGACTGGACTGTCTCCCATGGGAGAGACTCCAGGCTGGAGCAAGGGAAGAGTGTGAGGAGTTCCTCCCCTGAGAAGGAAGGAGCAGCAGAGACAATGTGTGATGAGCTGACCACAATCCCCATTCCCTGTCCACCTGTGCCACTGAGGGGGAGCAGGTAGAGAAATTGGGAGTGAAGAAGCCTGGGAAGAAGGGAGGGGTAGGGGGAAGGTGTTTTAAGATTCAGTTTTTATTTCTCATTACCCTACTCTGATCTGATTTATAATAAATTCAGCTAATTTTCCCGAGTTGAGTCTGTTTTGCCCATGACAGTATTTGGAGGGTGATCTCTACTTCTCCTTATCTTGACCTATGAGCCTTTTGTTATATTTCCTTTCCTGTCCAGCTGAGGAGGGGGGTGATAGAGGAGCTTGGTGAGCACCTGGTGTCCAGCCAGCACCAAACCACCAGAGTGGGATAGGCAGTATTTTTTAATATTTGCAGTTTTGTAAAAGTTTATGTTTTTTTTTCATAGGATGTTTGCACAAAAAGAGGTTTGTATAAATGGGAGCAGGTCACTGTCTGCTAGAAGAAAATTAAGCCTATTTGCCATTGACATATTGTAGAAAGTACTAGATTGCACACACTTTTATACAAGTCTTAGGAGCAGCCACTGCATTCTTCTAGATTAAAAGCTGGTGTTTGGTTTCTGGATAGTCTTCTTCTGCCCCTGAACTGGGCACCTGCCCAGGAAGGGATTTGAAATGCTTACTTATTACAGGCTACATTTCCATAAAGATGTGTTTGGATGGGCCACTGCAGCTCTCAGGAGCAGTCAT